AGTTTCTTTTCCTCCCAATCGGACGCGGCCGGGCCACCCCTGCCCGACACAGAAGCCCTTTGTTCCGTGTAGGTGGCTCCGAGGAGATGGCTGATGGCTACCTTGGGCCTTTTTAAGACCCCCCTCCTCCCGCCGCCCTCGTTTCCCTCTCGGGGCCCCGGGCCGGGCGGTTTCCCGCAGCGCGGCCAACTTTGGCCGGGAAGGCGGGGTGGGCGGTGAGCTGGGACCCCCCGCGCCCGCCGCGGCCGGAGTGGTGGGCTCGCCAGCCTTCACCAGGCGCCCACCTCCCACTTGTTCTGGGAGAGCCCCTGCACGCAGCCTGCCCCGCTGCAGCCCTGGCCCCCTTTGCCCTTCCCTCGGGTGGGTGGGAGGACCGTGGGAGGACCGTGGGAGGACCCCGGCCGTCCGGGGAAGGTGTGCACACCTTAGCGGGGAAGGCCTGACCGCATTCCACACCGCGCCCGGCAACCGAGTGCGGGGAGCTGAGTGCGGAGCCGGGGCTTCTGATCCGAAGACGTGTGATAGCCGTCCCCCAGTTGCGTGTGTCTCCCCCCCTTGCCCCCCCCCCCCCCCGATTGCCCTCCTCCCCATCAGCCTGGAAAAGGCCTGATTTTAATCAAGTGCTTTCAAGGTGCAAAGTCATCATGCCTAGTGCTAACTGGTAAGCCCTCCACATCCTGCGGAGAGAACCCTCAGGAATGAACAAGCTTAGGTTGACAGTCAAAGCAGCATGCGTTGTAGGGCAGAGTTTGTGAGTCCAGGGCCCCCGCTGCTGTGTGGTTTAGGGTAGCTCCTCGCCTCTCTGCTCTGGTTTTCCTTACCTAGCGAACAGGAGTAATAAATACATCCTTTCCCGGACCATTATGAGGGTCAGAGACGCGGTGTGTGACGTGCTTAGCACTCTGCTTGGCTCCTAATAGGTAACTGGTTTACAAGCCACACGTGTGCCAGTATAGAATAGATGATTAAATTTCTCTTGGCCAGAATGTCAAGTTACAGCCTTAAAATGGGGTATCGCAGGCATTTTAGAAGAAGATGATTGGGCTAGAGTGAGTGAGGGGAGGTCACGGCAGAGCTTTTTAAATTAGGCGATGCCATTAATTTTTTTTTGCCCACTTTGAGCAAAGCATCTGCTGTTAGGAATTGCTTGGGGAAAAAAAAAAAAACCCCAGAATGTTTCTCTTAATGGGGATTTATATTTGTGTAGACATAAACAGTTAAAAGTAATAGATTTAGCATTATGAATGTTTTAAGTATAGCCAGGGCCCCCTCCTACCTCTCTCCTTTCTTCTCTCCTGTTTTTTGGTGGAGGAGAGCTTCATGTAAACCTTTTGTAGTGAGTTCTGTAATCCCTCATCTACTTGTGTCAGCAAGGCTTAAAAATGTTGGCTTCAAATTAAAAAAAAAAAAAAAAGGCTTTAACTGAGGTAGATGGAGATGACCCAGAGAAGTTTTTTCAGAAGTACTGGTTGAAAAGCAAGGGGAACATTTTCATCCTGTTTTGAGAATACACCATTAATGATGTCTATGGAATGATTGCAACCAAAAAAGTAGCTGAGTGTTTCTTTAGGGAAGGAAGCCTTGTACACGATGCCTTAAAGAAGGCTTGATTATATATAAAGTTCTGTTTCTTTTCCCCACTGCTGTTTGTCAGCTAAATATTATTAACACTGGCAGGTGCTGGAGAGTTAGGCAAATAGGAATTGCTCTTAAAATTGGCATACCCTTCCTCTGATTAATTTTCGTTTGCAGTGTGTAATTTCCAAAGCCTTTTTTTTTTTTTTTTTTTTTTTTTTTTTTTGTATGCTGTGCAGGAGATTACCCGAGAGCTCAGTTACTGAGCAGATTAGAAAGAGACTGGATTTGGTCATTTTATTAAATTGCAAGCTTGCTCCCTGTTGCCATCCAAGCACACGGATTGGTTAAACTTTCAAAAATGAAAAACTTGAAATCATTACAAGTCTATCTTCACTTTTAAAAATTTAATTTTGAGAGAGAGAGAGAGGGAGGGAGGGGCAGAAAGAGAGGGAGACAGAGAGAATGCCAAGTAGGCTGTGCTGTCAGTGGAGAGCCCAATACAGGGCTTGAACTCGTGAGATCATGACCTGAGCCAAAATCAAGAGTCAGATGCTCAATGGACTGAGCCACCCAGGGGTCCCAGGTCTCTTTTCACTTTAGGCAAATCCACTGTTCATACTATGATATGAAATATGTGAGTTTGGATTTTTTTTTAAATGTTTATTTATTTTGAGAGAGGGAGGAGTGAAGAGAGAGGACCCCAAGCAGGCTCCACATACCTTGATCTCACGAACCGAGAGACCATGACCCAAGCCAAAGTCAGATGCTTTAACCAACTGAGCCACCCAGGCGGCCCGTGAGTTTGGATTTGTGAGAAAACTAGATTTGAGAGGCGTTTACTCTCTGAGGAATCACTGTAGATTCCTTTATTTTTATTTTTTATTTTTTATTTAAATTTTTTTTTTCAACGTTTATTTATTTTTGGGACAGAGAGAGACAGAGCATGAATGGGCGAGGGGCAGAGAGAGAGGGAGACACAGAATCGGAAACAGGCTCCAGGCTCTGAGCCATCAGCCCAGAGCCCGACGCGGGGCTCGAACTCACGGACCGTGAGATCGTGACCTGCTTGAAGTCGGACGCTTAACCGACTGCGCCACCCAAGCGCCCCTGTAGATTCCTTTAAATAATGCTCTCTCCTGGGGTGTGTAATGTTCATTCCCATTTCCAAAACTTGTTCCAAATAGTTGCATTAACAAGTGATGCCCACATATTTCAGTTTTCAGCAAGCATTAACTTTTCATACTGAAGTGAGGCAGAGAGTGGCTCTTGTGACATAAATTACTCATTTACCATAAAATAAATTTAAAATTTGCAAGCCCTGTTCCTGTGTTTAAATAAATGAGTCATGGGATTAGCAAACTAATTTTAAACTGATAAACCTTTGTGAACCTATTTTTTCCAATATAGGTTATGTCTGATAAAAAGTGTTTTACAACTGACATGTACTTTTTGGATACGTACATCTGTAGCTGGGCTGTTTGTAGCTGTTGGGTCCCTACCCTGCACTATGAATATCACATCTGTTGTATTTATTCCTTATTGCTGCTTTATACATGAGGAAACTGAGGCTCAGAGAAGGTAATTTGTTCAAGGTTATAGAGCCTAGTAAGTTGAAGAGCTGGCTCCACGCTGTTTTCAGAAGTGTTGCTGTTTTTTAAGATGATTTTTAAGTAATCTCTACACCCAGCGTGGGGCTCGAACTTATAACCTTGGGATCAGAAATTGAGCTTAAGAGTCACATGCTCTACGACTGAGCCAGCCAGGCACCCCCATCTTCTGTCCCTTTTAGTGATGCTGAATTCTCTGAATTCCTCATTTGTTGGATAGTTATGGGTTCAAGTTCAGACTCCACCACTTGCCAGTTTTGTGAACTTGGCTGAGATGCGTTTTCTTATTTTCCTCAGCACTAAGTCCTGGATAACAATACCTCTCTACTTCAGAGGGTGGTGGGGAGGGTTCAGTGAGATAAGATACAACACAGTATCTGACAGGCACCGGGTCTAGTAAATGCTAACTGCTTGACAACATAGTTAATCCGTAGAACCTGTTGAGGGCTCTGGCACCAACATGGGTTTGCCTGGGGGTTGGGTAGGAAGAGTAGAGAAAATGGAGGAATGGTTGAATGAGTTAAGTGAATGAAAACTGTATTTGTTAACCCATGCTTGTTTGTTTGTTTTTTTTGTTGTTGTTGTTTTTTTGGTTTTTTTTTAACCAGTGTGTTGTTTCGCCTGGTGATCACTTTCTCTGGGTGAAGTAATTATTGTGCACATTTTTAGTAAAGTCTGCTGCTGCAACTGGATGGAATCTGTGTTTTTGGAAATAATGGAAAAAAATAAGTAGTTGTGACATAACCCTGAGAAGTGAGCTTCTCCCCGCCCCCCACCTTTTGGGGGGGGGTTATTTCTGTCTCCGTTTCTTGGAGTCTCTAGGCACTTTGAAATAATTCTCAGAATAAGAAAAAGTTGTATACGTACTTGGAATATTCATGTTGATAGTTCAGTCCTCCTGTAAAACACCATCCATGCTGCCTTGCCTATTTGGCTTTTGTTAGATATGTAGTTTTAAAAATAAATTTGATGTTGACTCGTAAGTATTACAATTTAATCTGCTTCCTTCCGGGGCCATAATTCTCTACTCTGTTGTCCTTGGTTACCTTGGAAATCTCATTGCTGTCACAAGCACAGGGTTCTAACTGCAGGGGTAAAATGAGCCTGTGGGCTGCACAGATTCCCAGGGGCCTTGCTGTCCTTGGGGCTAGATGCCCCTCCCAGCAGTTCTAGTGGGAACCTGGCCCATGTGCTTTTTAGGCAAGAATGTGATTCTGAACCTCAGCCCTTTGTGAAGAGCGCTCTTCCAGATCCCAGACTAGTAGATTTTGCATCTGTTGTCGGAAGGACATAATCTTTTCTTGCCCGTGTGTTTGTGTTTTTGGAAATGAGGTTTTGTGGTCAAACAGGGCCACCTTATTTATGCTGTGTTCTGAAATCTGGACTTAAAACGTGTTTGGAAATTTTTGAGTCACTTAAGGAGGAACCGATCTTCTCTTGTTATGTAATCCTCCCTCCTCCTCCCAATTGTTTCCCCTGTTTCTTGTGATTAACAGTAAAAATACTAATGATTCTCCCAGTAGGGTCCAGGCTCTGACATTCATGCAGTATTTATTGAGTCCTGCTGTGTGCTAGGTGATGGGAATAGAATACCAAGTGAAGTAAGTTCCCTCTTTGAAAGAACCTACAGCTTAGCGGGAGAGGCAGACATCCTACAACAAATCAGTGCAATAAACCAAGTCACTGTGAGAGCTGGGGCTTTAAGATTGTCCAGGATCATGGATGCCCAGGGATGGCATTGGTCAAGTGTGCCTGGGGTTGTGGTTAGGAGTGCGGTTGAGTCATGAGGTCAAGGTGGTCATCTGTGGGTTACCGCATGCTTTAGTCACTAAAGTGTCTCAGAATGGCCTTCTGTGGCTGCCTTCCTGCCCTAGGTAAGTACTGATCCACTCCTGAGCTGGTGCCATCTAGGCCTCTGATAGAGTTTTCACAGTGTCCCATCCACAGAGGCTGTGCAGGCCAAGAGTTTGCAGGGATCCTTAATTCTTTTCTTATGCTCCACATTTCTAGGAATTGGTGCCTTCATGGAGCATATGCATTCTAGATCTGTATTAATATGGTAGCCTAAGATTAAAAATTCAGTTTCTCCACTGTACTAGCTGAGATTCAGGTGCTCAGTAGTCACGTGTGTATTGAACAGTGTAGATTTAGAACATTTTCATCCTTGCGGAAAGTTTTGTTGGACAGTGATGTTTTAGACCCTTGCAGCTCAAAGCAAGGTCCACTGACCAGCATTAGCATCATCTGGGAGCTTGTCAGAAATGTAGAATCTCAGATTCCACCTTAGACCTAGTGAAATTGAGTCTACCTTTTATTTTATATTTTTGTTTTTTAAATATTTATTTTTGGGGTGCCTGGGTGGCTCAGTTGGTTAAGTGTCCAACTTTGGCTCAGGTCATGGTCTCACGTTTCGTGAGTTTGAGCCCTGAATCAGGCTCCATGATGACGGTGTGGAGCCTGCTTGGGATTCTCTCTCTCTCTCTCTCTCTCTCTCTCTCTCTCTCTCTCTGCCCCTCCCCCACTTGCTCTCTCTTTCTGTCTTTCTCAAAATGAATAAACTTAAAGAAAATTTTTAGTGTTTATCTTTGAGAGAGAGAGAGCACAAGCAGGGGAGGGGCAGAGTGAGAGGGGGACAGAGAATCAGAACCCAGGAACCTTGAGATCATGACCTGAGCCAAGGTCAGATGCTTAACTGACTGAGCCACCCAGGTGCCCCCGAGTCTATATTTTAATAACATCCCCAGGTGCATTGTCTGCATATTAAAGTTTGAGAAGCAGTGATGTAAGAGTATGAATCCTTGCTGCAGTTAGAATCACTTAGGGGGGATTTTGTGGCCTAGAGGTTCCTGGCCTATTCCCTGAAACTCTGACTTACTGGTTTGGGTGAGGCCTGCAGCTCATTGGCATTTGAAAGCTTCTCCACAAATGGAGTTGGTAATTATTGCAGTAAACAGATAGTTATGTAATGTAATGTCAAGTAATGATAAGTGATAAGAAAAGTTCTGTAGAATTTGGGAGTAGCAAGTGACTTTGGAGGTTGGGAGGCAAATCAAGAAAGGCCTCTGAAGACGTGATGTTAGAGCAGTGTCCGGAATGCAGTGAGGAATCCAGCCCGGGAAGAGCCGAATGGAAGCACGGCACGTGAAAAGGCCAGAAGATGTGACCGGACTAGGGCATTTAAGGACAGGAAGAAGGAGGTGGGTGAGGAGAGAAGGGTGAGGGCGGGCAGGGACAGGTCACACAGGCCTTGATGGTCTTGGGAGGGGATCGGACCTTGTTCTGATGTGATGGGAAGCTATCAGAGGGTTTGAGCAGGGAATAACATGGTCCCATTTACATTTTACAAGTGTCACGGCGATTGTTCTACAGAGAATAGACCAGCAAGGCAGGAGACAAAAGCAGGAGACTGGTGTGGCGAGGAGTCTGGTGCAGGCATCCAGGCAAGAGGGTCTTGGCCTGGGTGGTGGCGGTGGGGGAGAGGAGAGGTCTGGTGGAGAGATCTGTGGTGCATGGAGTGTTGGTATGCCGGGGAAGTGAGCAGGAAAGAGTTCCTGCCCCGCAAGACCGAAGTCAAGCCCAGTTCACCCAGGCCACCTGGAGAATAGACCTCCCTGCGTCTCTAGAGTGAAGCGTCTGCTGCTGCTGCTTAGTGTCAGCATCGAGGCCAGCTGTGTGCCACTCAGCTTCACTGGTTGGAGAACTGTTAAAACCAATCCGGAGGGTGCCTGGGTGGCTCGGTTGGTTGGGCGGCCAACTTCGGCTCAGGTCATGGTCTCACGGTCGTGGGTTCGAGCCCTGCGTCAGGCTCTGTGCTGAACGCTTGGAGCCTGGAGCCTGCTTTGGGTTCCGTGTCTCCCTCTCTCTAGTCCTCCCCCATTTGCGCTCTGTCTCTCTCTGTCTTTCAAAAATGAATAAATGTTAAAAAAAAAAAATCCTGAATATTTGTTTTGTTTCATGGCAGACAGGGATGGGGTAGACTCAAAGCCTAGCTGTGTAGACCTGGGCTGGAGGGGTATGTTCACTTCCCTCCACTGCAGAGGACAGCAGGGGACACTTCATTGACTGTGTCAGATGCCCGAGATCCTGCCTCTGATCCAGCTCCCCAAACACCCCTCTTTCCCTGCTACAGAGAGCAGGGGAGTTCACCTGGTCACTGTCCAGCAGTAAAAACATGCCTCCCTGGCTTCAACTTTTGTGTGTTGTGTGCTCTTAAAGCAGTTGCCAAGGGCCCTTCCAGGTGCTTTTGTACCATCATCATTTCATCATGTGAGTCACGTTGTGGAATAAACGGGTCTGGAATACTTGGGCTGTAGTTTTATTTGTATTAGGTTTTGCTGAGTTTATGGATTCATAAATATATGCTGGGCACCTACCAATATGCTATCACTGCCAGGTCAGGGCTCCTTCCCCATAAGCCACTTTAGAAGTCCTGATGAGTATAGGCAATATCGTGAGACATTTCAAACTCTAAAGTTGTATTAATAGAGCTCTTATTAGAGTCACAGGTGTGGCTGATATTAGTGCGGCGTGTTGCTTATATTCATTACTGAGGAAAAATGCTGCATTTCACTCGGGATAATGAAATACAGATGCACTTCTTTTTTCCAATCCAAATTTATGGACCCCTTGCATTCAGACAGAGACTCCTAGGCTTGACGATAAGATCCTTTCAGTTAATTGTTTTTGGAGTGTGTGATTGACTCTGTAACAATGCTCTTTAAACAAGCTTCACGGTTATTACCCTGTCATTGTCATGAGTTGGTTGTTAGAGTCTCGCTGAGGAATGTCGTCTCCTACGCCGGTGTTAAAGTTATCGAGTAGTGAAGGTGTTTAGGGGAAGCGGTTGTGGTTTGGCAGCCACGGTGTGCTCCGCACTGTTTCAGAGTCCGGGCTCGGCACTTTCTCCTGTGGTCGCGTGGATTGCACTTTCGCGTGCCTTGGAGTTGAGCAAAACTGTGGATGCATCTCTGAGTCCTGTTCTTAGGACCCTGAGCTGGGCTGCCTCTCCACAAGCCAGTTCCCCAGTTTTTACTTCCCCTGTGTTGCTAGCATGTTCTACCCTATCCTTTCACTCTGTAGGGCAAGCTTGTTTGTGAAGCCAGAGTACGTGTTCAGGTATCTTCCTGTCCAGAGTTTTAAGGGAAACTTTGCAGGCCTTGGGTTGTTTTTGGTGCTGTTGTTGCGTGAGTGTGTTTGGGACATCCACAGCATGGTCGAAGCGTGACTGTCAGTCACCGTTGCTGTTTTTTCTCCCCTCTTGTCTTTCTAGCATTTATTGGGTGCTTACTGTGTGCCAGACATGCTTTAAGTTCTTTGCATATACTATTACCTTGTTTTAATTGTTACAAAAACGCTGCACGGTTCCGAGAACCTAAGCCGCTTTACCAAGATCACAGAGCTGGGAAGTACTGGAGGCAGGATTCCAACTCTAGCATTTTGACACGAGGGTCTGCTCCTTTAGCAGCCGGCTGCCTCTGTGTAACTTGGGCCAGAAAAGCCTCCCTGTGTTGATGCCTCTGTGATGACTGGGACCCCTCTCGCTGTCAGCGTTAGTGACTGGCATCTATTGCGTTTCTTGAGTGCGTGCTTTGGGGAAATCCTTGCTGTTCCGCTCCCTCACTGTCCTTGTTGCTGTAGAAATGATTTCTCTTTACTCGCTTCACGGCTCTGCCGACATGCCCAGCCCTGCAGGGATGAGTGGCTCAGGGCAGTGCTCACAGCCTGGCAGGAGGCCTGCCCTACTAACGGTATTAGTAATGATGTCATCTTTCCACTCGATCTTGAAGATGGCTTTGTCAATATGATTTTATACATAGATGCTGTCAATAAAATCGAGTGGCTGATGGAGACAAACTCTCTCTGATGATGAATTCCTCTGTATTTTAGGATTCTAGCAAGGTGATCAGGATTTGGGGCCCTCTTTCTCTAGTTTCCCAGAAGAAATCACATTTTTATTATGACTTTTTTTTTTTTTAATGCCAACTGCAACCATGGCTGACATTGCTTTCGGCCTTAATTTTGTTTTAAGGACTGTGCTGTGTATTAAATTGATTATTGAATCCTTTCAAAGATCCTGTGAGGTAGGTCCTATTACCTCTGTCTTAACGGTTGAGGAAGGCCAGATGCAGACAAGTTACATGCCTGCGGTTCCCCAATCCCGCACTAGCAGTTGATGGAACCAGTACTCCCAGCCGCACTGTTAGCACTGGTGTCCTTTGGGCTCTTCCTCCTCTTGGTCCTCGGATGCACCTCCTGATGTCTCCTGCTGGCATCTCTGTTCCTCTTTAGGTGTCTCTGTGGGTCTCTTTAGTGCAGGTCGGTAATTATAGACCTTCTGTAGGCCAGTCAGCATTGTCGCTGACCTCGGGAATGTGTGATTGCCCGGACAGGGTCATCAGACACTAACCCCTGGGGAGGTACTTAGCATCAGGGGTGTTTATTAAGTGACCCTTAACTACCTCGAAGTGAGTTAAAAGGAGAGATCTGGCTTCCTCAGAGCCAAGGGACTGATAATACTGTCACAGCTGTGTGTAAAGGACTCCACAGCCACGCAGGCAGGGATCAGATGCATACAGATTTCTCTCTTTGTCAGCAAATCTGTGTTTTGAGAGGCCACTGAAGGGTGAATCACAGATATGGTGTGTGCAGGCAGACTCAGGCTGAGGAGTCAGCTCCCTGTTGCCAGCTAGGGGACTTTGGGGGAGATTCTGCAGGGAAGGGGGAACGTCAAGTCCTTGTGCCATGTTTGTTCCTCCGACGGCCCTGACCTGTTGCTAGCCAGCTGGTGGACCTTGTGCTGGGGATTTCTGGCCCAGCCTCTGTGGCCTCTTTGGGAAATGGAGAGCTGGATGAGCTGGGGTGCAGGCAGGGGCTTCTCCAGCCCTTACCATTCTGCGTCTACGGATGTCTGCAGCTCGACTCGCCTGCCTCTTGCCACTCTACTTTTTCTGATCCTCTACTCTCTCTGCCTCTGAGCTGTTCGTACTTGTGCTTTTCAAGAGGTTAGAGGTGAAAATAAGCTTCACCTCTTCATTCCCCCCTTGAGAGATTCCCTTGCCCAGAAGATCACTGGAGTCAACAGGGTGGTTGTACTTGAGCTGGAGTGTCACTGGGTGCAGTTCTAGTTCAAGTTTGGGACAAGCGGGGCAGGGTTTTTTGGCCCCCTGCTCGCCTGGGGGCAGCTTGAGCAGTCTCTGCTGTGATGTCTTGGCCTCTAGGTTCTGTCTCTGTTGTGCTTTGCTTCGCTGGTGAAGAGCATGTTGTGTTAATGATAGGATCGCAGGGTTTTGTGATCATTGAATACTTTGGACTGTTGAACTTGTAGTAAATCCTGCTCATAGCTCATAGCTTTCCCCTAGGTTTTGGGAGAGCCAGTATTCTCATT